GTCTAGAGGTATGCTGGGACTACGAGCTGTCAAGTGAGTGGCGGACTTGCACTGACATCCGCGTGCCTGTGTCAACCCATGCCTGCACCTTCAAGCCAGTAATCCCTCTTGTTGGGTGAGGTCAGGTGAAATTGTTGCAACTTGATCCAAACATGCACAACCGCAAGATGATTCAAGCGTTCTCCACCCCAATCCCGGTTCCTAAGGGTCATGTTCCAAGATCTGCAGAATGTAAGCTCCAAGTGAGCCTGACACCGACTATCGCTCAATCTGAAAACCCACACCCCAAGGCAAGGACGGAGTAATTGAATCGTTCGACGGCCTTCTGCAAGCGCTCGGTTCAGAGTGCTGATGTAGATCCTTGGCATATATTCACAAAATATGCAGAACGATCACAATCATGGGGTCATAGCTGACTTCAAGAGTGAGGCAAGAAATATTGTACCAAGCATTAGGCCAAGCAGAAACGCAAGCCCAAGATTGTAGCACAAACCTTATTACTTCGCACAGAGCATATACTTCCACGAGCAGTCGCAAAATTTCTTATTCCTGATGACGACAAGCCTATATGGATGGACCAGGCTCCATGGCAGCTTTCCTAGAAACTCCCAAAGATCTTGACCTGCTGCTCCATTGGGTTGGCTAGCAAAGACTACGAAATGGATTGCCAATTTGGGCTCTGGCCACTATCTGTGCGAAATAAGGTTCCAACGTTTCAGTTCCATGATTGAAGGGATCATGGTCAAGATGGTGATGCACACTCAACGTTCTGTACACGGTCAGAAGTACGGACAACAGGTGACACAAATCATGAAAAGCCGCATAACCAGAAAGACTAGGGAACCCCGACCACCCAAATCATGCCGCCACTGTTATCAGATAGCGGTACGGCCTTCATTTTTGGGGAATTTGAGGTAGATAAAACCTCACATTTTCATGCGTGCGTCCAAGCTCGTTTCCGGACTTGAACCCTTAAGTCAAGAAGGCCTGTGTTTAGAGCTGCGGGTAAACTAGGAAGTTCAGACATAGCTGTGAGATTGTAAGTTGGACAGGCGTAGCAGTGACGCAAAATGCCTGCGCTCCAACGTAGAACCAAGCATGAACCTCCAAGCAGGGTGTATGGCCACTGTGGTTGCACCCTGTACACATGGGTGGTTGTCAAAATTATGGTCCCTTTTTGGGTGCCGTATTATAACAGGGATCCAAAAAGGGCCCATAATTTTGACAACCACCCACATGGAATCCTTGGGATCTGCGGCTCTAACGCCTAGATTTACATCAGCACCAGCTTGTATCTCGAAAGCCCAGTCCCTGTCTCCACCACCAGGACAGCAGAACTCCTTCAAAAGGAACACAGACGAATCAGAAACTTGTAGAGGAATCGCCAAGTAGCTCCAGCAATGCATCCCACTTTTCGGCTTCTTCAAAGTAGGCAGCCTCCAGCTTCAGGAGAACCTTGGCTTCCAGGACAAGGGATGACAGCAATGGGTTGTATTGGGATTATATTGGGATAATGGAAAATAAAATGGAAACGACTACAATGGGTTATATAAGGATTATAGGGTATATATTGGGATAACGGAAATGACAATGGAAGCTACTATTCAGGTTAATATAGGGTAACTTAGGGATGATATACGGTAACGTAGGGCATAAGGGGCAACATAGGAATCTTCACGGATGATGCGCATGGACTTTGTTTCCATGAACATCGGGAGAGATTGCTCGGACATCCTGTATGTAAGGGTACCCCGCACTGTCTTTGAAGTGGAATGCAGGGGTATGATCCCATCACTCCTTCTACCTTCACGATTCTCACGGAGATCTGGCTGACTTTGACCTCAGGCCGTTGGGTCGACGCGTGGGTTTAAAGCACAGTGGCTTTATGGCCATTGCAAGGTCTGAGCACAAAAAACATGTAGTCTTGTCCCAGTTGGGCAGACAGCGTGCAGCGCCTGACCGAAGCATTCATCGTTGACAGGACAATGCGGCAAGCTTCTTGCGCGGCAATGAACGGATCACTTGCGGCCGCGCTGCTGCTAGCAAAGCAGCTGCAGGACAGTTCATGTACGCAGTCTCAAAGTTGTTGATGAGCAGCGTCATGTCCTGTTTAGGCGTGGAACCCTTGGGAGGCAGGCTGGCTAGCGACCACAGGCTTTTGTTGCCGTGGATAGCCCCAATCCATTTGAAGGTGCTTCACACTGTTTCTTTCCGGTGGTCATTTGAGGAAGGGCCTGCTTGTCTGGGGCTTGCAGCGCTACCTGCATTTTGAGGCATATTCCAAACGCTCCGAACCATGCGAGCCTGCCTGTTATCTTCAATTGAAACGGACAAACTCGGATATCATGACACCGAAGCCCCAAGAGAAGTGCGCATGGATTACTGTTTCTCCCGGTCCCCAGATCCTGGCAAATAAGCCCCAGCCCCTAAGCAAAGTTTAACGCGCCGTAAGCAAATCTACGCAACTAAAGCCTGCAAGCCCGCAACCCCCAAACCCAGTTATACTATGTCTATTATAGTAGTTTCCATTTTATTTTCCATTATCCCAATATAACCCGTATTATAATATAGTAGTTTCCTTTTCATTTTCCATTATCCCAATATAACCCATATAATAATATAGTAGTTTCCATTTTATTTTCCATTATCCCAATATAACCCATACTACAATATAGTGGTTTCCATTTTATTTTCCATTATCCCAATATAACACATATTATAATATAGTAGTTTCCATTTTATTTTCCATTATCCCAATATAACCCATATTATAATATAGTGGTTTCCATTTTATTTTCCATTATCCCAATATGCTGTCATGGAAAAGCTGCAAGCTTGCAAGCCGCTTCTCGTACCAGGCAGCCGCACGGTTTTTGAAGACCTCCGCTTAGAAGTGAAAATGGGGGGTTCTATAGGCCTCATACATGGAGGGGGTACAAGATTCGGTCTCTAGCTTCCTAAGCTCAGAAGGGACTGCAACCTGGCATAAATGCACTTTGCAGTTTGTGACGTTTGGAGGTGTAGGGCTTGATGGAGCATCCTCGTGCGTCAGTTGGCTCTACCGAAAATAACACATCTGATGTTGAAACGTTCTGTCTCAGGGCATTAAGAGAGAGTCTACTGGGGCGGAGAGCTTCAGTTACATGTCCAAACTTCTCAGAGCGGCACATCTCCAAACTTTGGCATGTGGTACTGGGGTCTTAGGACATCAGGGCTTCTTGTCAGAGGAGTTGAAGTGAAGCTGGAACAACCTGCGATTTCATGGCTAGCTGTTTCTGAAACCAATGTCCCGTAGAATTGCAAAAGCTGTCTTCTGGGCTCATGACAAGGCGGATGGGTCCTACAAAGCCTGTTAAGTGCAAGGATGTCGTGATGAGATCCCAGGTGGATACACCAGCCAGAAGCCACCCATCAAGGTTGCTATGTATCCTAGAGGGTTCAAATGGTTTTTGGCGAATATCTAAGTGCTTAGACCCTTCGGGTGCGCTATGGAACTGTCCTTCAGAGATGTATCTTTCATCCTCATTCTCAGAAGCCTACTGCTCGCTGAAATGTACCAGTCAGCCCGAATTGCCTGCAGCTTCATGGGTTGTACCTCTTACAGTTGGCCTTACTAAGCTGTAGGTATTTGGCGTTACTAGTATAATAATTATGCCTGTAACCTTGCTTGGGCTCAGCTATTCGCCAACCTCCTAAGCCCTGCTTCTTTGCCACAAAACAGAACCAACCATCCCCATAGTTGCAAGGCTTCTGCATGTCTATTTGGCTTCTTACTGCTATCAAGCACACAGCACATTGACATTATCTCTATAACCCATATCTTCTAGCAAGCATGGAAAAACAGCGACCTGGAAGTCTGACTGCGAGCAGTCCCCATAGAACTGTGGAGCAACCTCCAAGCCAGGAATGGCTCATTTGAAGGTTCACAGTTTAGAGAACTAACCTAAATGTCCATGTATCCAATAATTCGGTACTTGCGATTTGGGCACTCGAAAAAATCTAGTGCACTTTTGGGTAAGTATATGATTTATTTGGTGCTTGGACCCTTTGGTTTGGTTTAGGGTACGTCAACACTGGGCTAATTGGCTTTGAGGACGGTTTCCGGGCATGTGGAGCTTGAGGCATCCAAATTTTTTGGAACTTGTTAAACGTTTTGACTACTGCCAAAATCCTGCGAAAGCCCCACGCGTTCCTACCACCTATTGCAACATCACCTATTGAACTGCAAATCCCCTCAGGGTAGTTTAAGATATTCTCAATTCCAAATCTAAAGCCATGTTGGTATTATTCCCCATATAATCCACCCTTTAGGGTGAGGTCGGATGAGGTCACCTTAAATGTCCCAGTTATGTGCACCCTGCCACAGCACCCCGGCCAGCTTATGATGACGGCACCCTACTGGTGGTCTAGGGGTCAATTTGAAGCCTTAACAGCCGCACTTGGACACGATTTCTAAGAAGGATGTCTTGTTAACATGTGGAACCCAAAAGCTCTGGGTCTGGGGTTTTCAGAGCCCTAGGACCCAGCTCCGTAAACTCCAGTGGGGAGGTATGGTTGAGACCGCATTGAAAATGTTCAACTCACGAGGACTGAACACTTGTAGCACAGGGGCTCAGACCCCATCTTTGAGGCTGGAAGCCAACTAGCAGCAACAGTTGAAAGCCGAAACTCCTTTGTTTAAGTCGCCATGACACGCCCTGGAACCTGAGGGGCATGAAACATGCTTATTTCTTGTGGCGCATGTTTGCGAACGCTGAGATCTTTTTTCGGCGCATTTCGCAGAAATCCCCCTTGGTCTCCACGAATGGCTCCTGCATCTATAGGGCTTCAGTTCAGGGCTTGCGGATTGTCCTGGTTTAGGTCGCATTCTAGGAGAATGAACGCCATGGGCAGTTGGCCGGAACAAGCCTGGAACCTTGTGAAGGCCCCCCTAAAGTACTACAGTGTGTGTAGGTCCCCTTTGGGGGCGCGAAGAGAATACCCGAAACCCTGGTCTGGTCCTCACACATGATGTCCATAGCAGCAGTGGCCATCTCACCTCATATGGAGGACAGTTTCAGGTCCGTAGTGTATGCCTCGGACCAAACCTTACAAAGGGATATTCCCATGAAGCAGAAAGCGATGGCATGAAAAAGTGATGTCAACAGTGGAAATATAGCCGTTTTAGCAGTTCATTGCCCAGCTAGGTAACCCGGAGGAGACCGATCCCCATCAGTCTTGGGCCATCGCGCCAAGAATCCGAGGCCCAACAAAAGAAACCATAAATCCAGTATTCTAGGACAAGTACGGGGGGGGGTCCTTTACGGGCCTGAATAATTACGAACAGGCTTGAGCTTCTCATACCATAGCCTTTCGGGACAATAACGGTGGTAATTATGTTGACCCCTACATCAAATCTTAAAACTTGCAATCTAAGCTTCGCGCAAAACACCTGCATCCCACTTTCTTCACACTACCCTGCCACATGATTGACAACCAGAATCCCTATGCTTCTGATGTGTTCCCCGACAAACAAACAAACTCACCATCTAGAACTCCACCACGCAACGTCCAAAATCCTCACGCCTCTTGTAAACTGCATCCATAAATCTGAAACCTTGGGTCATTCCCCCTCCCAGTCACTGTTCTTAAAGAGTTTTCTTAAGGTTTAAGCTTGCGGCTATGATAACTCCTTTTCCCTTTCGTGGTGAGTAAATGATACTATACGGGGGAATGACTTAACTGGATCCCTAAAGCCTTTGTACAAATCAGCACAGGGAGCGGGAAATGTCAGGAAATCTCTCCGGATGGTGCAGCTCACCGCTGAGGCTCACGCGGCTCAGGGACCTTGTTCAGATGGTTTGGGGTGTAGGGCTGGGATTCTTCGGGTGGTTGGTACCTTTGATGCTCTGAATCTTGCGTGAGTCTATGTGCGTAAACTTTAGGAGCTGGTAGCATGGAATGCCTAGGACTAGGAGTTTCGCGGAGTCAGGAATTTAGAGGGGTTGGAGTTTAGACATCCAGGCTAAATAAATTGAGATACGAAGTTTTGGGACTACATGGCATCGTATCAGGACATACTGGGGTACTGGGGCCATATCAGGGGGGGATGTAAGAAATCTAGGGTCATAGAAGAGTTGAGGGCTTGACAAAATCATGGATGCACGTTGGGCATGCTCTTGGAAAGGCTGTAACACTTTGGAAACTATCACGCGCTCCTTTTCTTGCTTATGCCAAGTTGGGATAGGGGTGTGGATCTCTACAATAGACCTGACATGACTCCCACGAGAATCCTCAGACCCTTGACCAACCCCGGCCAAGAAACATCCAGCGCTGAACTGTCGGGTCACTCAAGACTCGATACTCGCAGCCTTCCTCGGTTTTCATGCAGCAGGGCATGGGGTGTGCGCCAACCAAACAGCCCCTGCGAGGGGGGTCCCTTCGTCGATTATCAAGGCTTGTGCCTTTGAGATGGTAGAAATACTCTGATTTTCCGGTGCACACTCGTGAAGTGAGTAGGATTTTGGATTGCGCTTTGCCAACAACCGACCACGCGAATCCATCGTACCGATGCCAGGGAAGAATGGAGAACTGGCAAAGCCCGCTTTGAAAAGACATAGTCTTGAACACTAGACTGCGGCTAGATTCCTGGAGCAGCCGAGAGGAAAACAGAAACCTGGGAACCGAGCTCACTTACACTGCGGCTCAATGTCTATAAATGGTACCTACATTGGGCCGCAAAGTCTATAAATAATATCTACATTGGACCATTTCGAGCCCTGGGGTTATGGATCAAGATGCGGAAACATGCCTGGCTTAAACAGTCACACTCGCTGAAAGCCAGCCCTTCTTGCAAGGGTTTAGGCTTTAGGGTTTAGGTCGCTCCTAAAAAATTGTCACTTCAGTGTTTCCTTACAGCAGTCCTAAACATCCTAGCCTCCAGTCCAGTTGCCATGTCATTTTCCATTTCATTTTCCAAGTCCTCTTCTCTGTTGTTTCCCATTTGCTTGGGACACTACCCCTGAAGCCTTTATAACTGACATACATTCCAATGTAACCCTCATATCTCCCCAATATAATCCCTAAGCCCCAAACCCCGGACATGGGGGCCATACAGCCCCCCAACCCTGCAAGCTCTGCCTAGGTTGAGGCCCAACGCCGTGGTGCCTTTATAGGGCCCTCCCCCCTCGAAAGGTTAAAAAGTATAGGGTTTAGACATGGTCCCTCTACATAGACCTTGTATAGGGCTTTTATACATTCTCTTGAAGTTGGTTCACCGCATTGTTTCAGCTTGTGGGTATATGAAGCTTTTTGCTGCTGCGAAGTTCCAATTTGAATCCCTAACTTATGGTCCCTGAAAAGTTCCCATCGGGCCCATGCAGCGCCGAAATCATAAACACACCAAGTCGCACAGTTCAACTTCAAGTGATCCACCTGCTCAATCCCCAAGAGCTCCTCGCCAAAAAAAAAAGAGGGGCCCTCAGATTACCCGTCCAAGATTATTGGCGTTGGGCCCTCAATCTTGGGACGCCTACCATGTATACCCAGGGTATATGCCGCACGCATATGAGCCATAGTCCAAACTCCTAGTATCCCCCTTAGTAACCCCTATTATAGCCCCCCATATAACACCCTTTGAGGAGTTTAGACTATAGCTCATATGCTAGGGGGTCACCGCAGGGTTGACAAAACTTGGAAGCCGGGGCATTCGAGACTAGCTGAGGATGGGGTTGGTGGTAGTAGTAGTAGTAGTAGGTGGTAGTAGTAGTAGTAGTAGTAGTAATAATGATAATAATACTAATAATAATAATAATAATGTTCTATGGTAATGATAAGAGTAATAATTCTAGAAATAGCAATTAGAATGACCGAATAATAATATTAGTAGTGTTCTGGGTATGTCTCAATGGTGTGGCACATGGGAACGAGGGGTTTCGGCATGACAAGACGGAGAAGTTTCTCTAAGCAGTTACCATTCTGAGAGGTAGAGATCATGTGACACCTGTGTTGCTGAAGTCCCACTTCACGAACAGGAGGCTATAGTCCCCCTCAAGTAGATAGAATATGGGGTATATGGGGATCTTGTCATAATATACCCAAGGCCGTATTCGATCTACCTAACGGGACTATATATCTATATGCATATATATGTTGCCGCGCTAATTTCAAGTTTGGTCCTGGTTCCTTCCGATTGAGTGGCCTCCCGCTCCTTTAGTAGCTCACTGCCAAAACAAGTCCAACACAAAGCCTATCACAGGCATTATATCCAGGCCTGATTTTGGGAGCGGGCCAGTAAGGGAGAACCTAAAATACAAACACGTAGCATGCTGGCAGCGTATGCGCAGCTTGCTTATGTAAGGTCTGTAATACAAAAGCCCTCAAGACCACTTGCCCATGCTCCAGCAGATTTCCCAGCGACCATGCCGGCACCCGAAAGCACGCCGTCCAGCCCTCACTGCAGCGCCCACCAATGAAGCCCGACCGGTGAGTGCCGCCGTAATCTGCCTGGGCTTTATTGGGGCATTTAGCCTGCAGATTCCCGACACTTTGTTGGGGGTTCCGATCTGTAGACACTGACATGCTATCCCAGAAATGAAGCATTCAGACAAGTTCAGTACGGTATGAACCTCCCGCTCCGAGCCATTTCACATATTCCTGAAGCGCGGCTCTTTATACCGGGCAGGTATACTGGACGGCATTGGGTGCCTGCATGTAAAACATGGGACCCACAACATGGAGAAGAGTATTTGGGGAGCTGCGGATTTAGAAGGATATGACCGCTGCAGCTTGTTCTCGGAACACTGGGTAGGTACACAGTAGGGGCTTCTGTAGGGCGAGCAAACTTGCAGCCCACGGAAGAGGTTCATCTGGATGGTCCAAACATCCAAGAGGAAGGGGGCCCAGGGTGCTGTGTATTTGCAAGCGTGAGTTTTGCTGCGAGGTAATCCCTTGTGCGGAGCCGCGTCGCTGTCTTGCGCTATACATGTTCTTGGCGGGACGTCTGATCTCGGGCCCTGCATTCGTGCTGATTGTACTCTTCCCAGAACATTCATGCCTAAGCTGCAATACCGATTCCCAAAGCATCCATGCCCGAACCACAGTAACGTTCATGGTCGACGATGCCCAACTGAGCATTGCTTTTTGAAGGTTTAAATCTTTATACTAAGATAGTCTGCCTACGCGAACTATGCGGATTGCTGTTTTCCCTGCGGAACAGACTACGCGAACACACTCTTGCTATCGTGCTGCCTACGCGGACTACGCGGTATTCCTGGGCTATTGACAGTTCTATGCAGCACGAACGTCTTCTTGCCTACAAAACATACCAACTACGCGGACTACGCGGACGAGACTTTCATAGGTGCCTATGCGAAACTACGCCCTGCAGGCAAGAGGCTACGCGAGCACTCTTACAGAAACACTTCCATCATAGCCCTTACATACCTTAAAACACGCTGCTCAATTCCCAGAATTCCCAGAGCATACATGCCCAAACCATAATAACGTCCCTGGTCGACTGCGCCCAGGTCGCAGAGCACGCATGCCCAAACCGTAATAGTAGCGTCCATGGTCGAAGGCACAAAACACCCATGCCCGATCCATAATAACGCCCATGGTTGGCAGTATCCGATTCCCAGGGCATCCATGTTCTTCGGTCGACTGCGCTCAGTTGCCAGAGCATCCATGCCCACACCGCAATAACGTCTATTGTCAACTGCATCCGCTTCAAGAGCAGCTGTGCCGAAACCACAATAACATCCATGGTCGGCAGCACCCAATTCCCAGAGCATCCATGCCCAAACCACAATAATGCCCATTGTCCTACGAGCCTAATGGCACAGCAAAAACTGGATTCCCGTATAGCATGAGGATCGTCTTCAACTTACAATGTTCACGGGAGTGCGTAAGGTGGATTTCTAATGCCATGCTAACACTGCACACCACATGATGTCGAAATGATGTAAGAAATATGTTTCCTCAAAGTCGGGGCTCTAGGGGTTCTTCAAATCGTGGTGTTCGCTGTAGCCAAAACCACGAAAAGCTAGCACATTCGCTGGACGTCTCGGGGTCTTGGTCTTGCTCAAAACACACGATTGGCCATAAAATCCTCGGAAACCATCCGTTTTTGCACATGTGGGCCTCCAGAACTTCCGAACACTACCGCAAAAACGCAGGGAAGTCCAGCAATCTTCCTACCATGTTCGTGCGACATTCGGGATGTGCTTGGAAGTCCTAAATCTTTGGTGGAGAGGTGTCATCGGAAAGTGGCTTGCACTAGCAGATCGGAGACATTCTGCTTGTGCTGGCCTCGCTGGTGCAGAGAGAATCTTTCAAGGGACGAGTTACTTGGCAGTAGAAACTTTCGAGAAAGGAGAATCTCAATTTCATTCCAGAAGATGTTCCAGCTGCTTCCTGCTGACCTGCCGTGGGCTATAGATGCAGGCTCAGCCTATCAGCCTGGTACTAAGAGCAAGGTGGATACACGGGATGAGGCCCTGCTTGGTATCAATTTTCAAGCAAGGTAATCCCAAGGTAGGCCCAAACATGTGTCCTTCTTGAGCCAGAGGAATTTGGCAATGGAAGGTAGCCTGTCATTCCGGGGAGTGCGGCTTCACTTACACCCAACGTTCTGCATGATGAAGCTTGGGTCACCTGCCATACATCCCCTTAAGTTAACCCACACAAAACGCATGGCGCATCAACAGTTCATCCTCCGCAGGCTCAATGTTGCGAATTTTCTGCAAAAAGCATGACGATATGCCGAATCGTGTGTCTTGCAAGAGCCCAAAGCCCCCAACCGGAAGTGCATCATACGTTTCTGCTTTCATTGGAGTGGAACATTCAGATCCAAAGTGTGCCTGCGACCTACTTACTGCGAGCAGGTTGAATTATTCTCATTGCGAGTCCCTGCGCTGTAGGCTCGTTTCCTTGCAGAACCTCATACTGACACCCACCTATGCACCAACTTTCGGAGATTCTTTGCGTCGAGGCTGCGTTGACCTTCAGCACAACGCAGTCTGTAAGCACTCCTGCTTTTGCATGCGTGGGCTGTATAGGATTCGATTCTCAGAGTTGGGCCTTTTGCTAGCTCGGCTGGGAGCCTTTGGGATGCTAGGCCCAACGAAATGCAGGGCAAAAGTGAAGGGAAGCTACTGAGCTCCGAATGCCCCGCGTACTCTTGAAAGAGGTTCATATCCAGCACAGATGTTCTTAGATGCCTTCATCCGACATGTCTTATCCCAAGCCAGCAAGAGGGATTGCATTTTACAGTATCCCTCCCTTTTCAACACAACACTAAAATGCTTACTGTCCACAACCCTGCAGATGGGCTGATGACTCAAGTACGAGGTACTCATTCAAGGGTCAGGAGTCCAGCAACAAAACTTTGCGCGCGTCCAAAGACAGGAGGTCTCTAGGAAAATGACCGGAAACAGTGCCACTTCTCCAGCACATGTTTTGGCTGCATGCTAGCAGGATCAGCTCCCAAGAAATCAAGAAACTTACAAATACCACGGAATCAGAAGATGAAAAGCCTGAAGTCAACAGTCGCTACCAATAATCCTATGAAACTGTTGAACAACGAGGAAACCAAGTAGACCTCTCATGCCATTGCAGCTCCTCGTTTGAAATGCTTTGCCTTCTGGCTAGCATCCTAGAAAAAGGATTGCAGGGTTCAGGGCGCGGGCGTGCATTGGCTGGGAAGCGTCCTGCAGCTGGCTGGCAATGCCCCGCGCCAGACCCAGACAAGGCAGCGTTCACCGGCCATACGCGATCCTTGCTGAAGATCTCGGAAGCTAGGTGGCTGCAATAGATAATCTGCCACATGCGGTGAGATGTCTGTATAAGGAATACCAAGGACTGTCGCGTAAAGATTCCAGAAGAATATGCAGTTGCGACTGGCGAGTGTGTCCTTTGCGACAATTACGTCAAAAGCGGGTACTAGGCCAGGGGCAATTATGCCTAGGGGTTTTCCCCTGTAAGGCCTAGCGAGGTCTCAACCCTGGCTGGCGCAATTTTTGCGGATCTGCGGAGTAGTCATGGCAACAGTGGTGCTGGGGCGGTGGTGGTGCATGTGGTGCCTATGTCTCAGACTCAGAGATTTTGTCAAGAGGTCTTCTACGAAGGACCTTAAGTGGGGATGTAACAAAGCCTGCATCTTGAGCTGCAGTAATGGGCAGAGGGGGGGGGGGGCAGTGTAGGATGAGACCATGGGCATGGGCCCGGCATCCTACGGAAGTCACAACTTCTCGGCCTAGAGTCTGTGACATTGTTGGCGCGGATGTTCCAGAGTAGCAGCCTGTATAGCACTGGACTGGCTTCGATGGCAATCACCATGCTCTGCCTTGGAGGGCAATGCTTCAAGCTTCAGCCATCCAAACATCTTGCAGCATTGTTATAGTCTGCAGGATCCTGAGAGAAGAAGCCTGAGAGCAGACACTATTAAGCTAGGTTCTTAGTAGGCCGCAGCGAGTCTTCAAAAAGGTGCCAGCGCAGAGGCTCTCAAACGAAGACCGAAAAGCAAACGCACGAACCTGAACCAAAGGCCCATCTGACAAGGGGCTTTCCATTAACATCGGGCCCCGTCCAGACCCCAAAACACTAAAATCCTTTTTATACAGAATCAAATCAAGGGCCCGCTAATCTACCGGAGCTCACTTGTGCTAGAACTTGATTGAAGACAGGACTTCAACTCGAAACTTAAAGCGTCAGCCAGAGGGATTCAGACCTCCACCGGAATGAAAATAGACTCAAACAATAATAAACTACAGTAACCAGCCGCATCACCAACAGCAGGGTGACTGGAGCAGGCGGGCTGCAAATTGACTTTATGAAGCCTGCGGCATGGCAATCTGTAAGTCCATGTGCTTCCCGCTGGCAGAAGCTAGCCCTAAGCCCCAGCAACTTTCCTAATGGAACTTGAAGAGGTCTCAGCTGCAACGTGGGAGCTAGTCTGCGGATCTGAAATGAACCTGGAACAATTCTAGCTTCCTGCTTTGACACCAAGATTTGAGACAACGAATGAGTATAAGTACACCTCCAATCTTTCCCATGCTGCTAGGGTGTAGTGGTAAATGCGAATCATTCTGTGCGAGCTTGCTTGCAATACCTCGAAGCCCTTTTTTCTAAGTTTTGGTGTTGGGTCCGTCTTTTCCCGTCTTGAAGCCTGTGCGGCTTCCAAACCCTCTCAGCGTAGAACTGTTGTCCCATTTGAAGCGCAAAGAAGCCCAGAATCACTCTCTTTCATGTGCGCTCTCCTATGACTCCTAAGTCATGGCTTCATGTAAGACCGACAAATCTTGGTCCAAACCAACCATCTCCCCTTGCGCACTCGCCACCTGAGCATCCGCTACAAAGCACTGCGAGAGATTCTCAGAAAGAAGAACTAACAGTTAGGGAAAGCTGACCTATTGATACGCCAGGCCAGGGTACGGTCTGTTCACTGCCATGTAGATGGATTGAAAACCCAGGTTGGCTCCCACGTCAACCTGGTGGGATCAGAGGAT